CAGCGTGGTCCAAGAGTCTTCATATTCATGCGGTACGCGGACAATGGCGACCTCCTGGACTTTGTAAAAAGAAACGGTGTCGTACCGGAGCAACAATCGAAGCTCTGGTTCAGACAGATGGCTTCCGGTCTGCATTACCTCCACGGGAAGAACATCGCCCACCGTGATCTTAAATGCGAGAACATCCTCTTGTCGAGGAAGTTCAATGTCAAGCTTGCAGACTTTGGTTTCGCGAGATTCTGCATTGATCACGACGGCAGGCGCGTCCTCAGCGAGACATACTGTGGCTCCGCGGCATACGCTGCCCCGGAAGTTGTCTCCGGCACCCCCTACAACCCGAAACTGGCAGACGTCTGGTCCCTTGGAATAATTCTATTTATCATGTTGAACGCATCGATGCCCTTCGACGACTCGAACTTGAAGAAGCTGTTGAAAGATCAGATGTCGAGGAACTGGATGTTTCGATCGCGAGTGCGGGAGACAGTGTCTGCGCTGGCAAAGAGCATCGTCAAACACATTCTAGAACCGGACATTACTTTGAGGCTAACGCTGGAAAGGGTTCTGGGCCATGAGTGGGTACGCACGAAGAAAGAGAAGCTTGGATCTCTTACCGGTCGATTAGTACATTCAGCACCGCCTATTCACGCACAGGTGGTTCATCTTAAATAAATAAATAAAAAAAAAAAAACAAAAAATTTCCAACACGTTGTACGGTTGCACATATTTTACGATTTGCTTTGCTACCAGACTTGCGGAGGCGGAGGAAATTTGGTTGGAGCAGGGGCTGCAGGGGGTTGCAACGTACCCGTGGTATTAAAAGGATTGTCGTCATTCAAGAACTCTGAGAATCAAAATCATGGTACTGCTGTAAAGTCTACGGACAATGCGGGGAGAGATGCACAGTTGTCTGCCATTGAATGAAGAAATATAGGACCGACAAGGATGAACCGGCGTCGTTCGTGCGTCGAACGTCGAACGTCGAACGTCGAACGTCGAACGTCGACGAACACGCACGAATGTTTATAATGCATTTTTTTACTTTCCTGACGATTGTTGATCTATACATGATTTTTAATAACGCATACTTTTAATAAAGAATATCAGAATTTTAATGGGTGCGTGATTGCGAACGCCGCGGGAATAAATCGAAGGAAATGATAATAATTAAGTTTATTGTACAACTAACATCTATTAATATACAAAACTATAATTTTTGATTGCACGTTCGGCAACGTGACGTAATATAAGTAGATAATAACGATACAAGTAAATATCTTTAATATATATAGTTTACATTAAAACAACAAATAATTTACACGATTCAATATGTCTTCGCATCTGTGTCAATCTCACCCAGCATAGCACCCCCGGATGTTAAAACTACACATATACATTGCCTGAGAGAGATCGACCTGGGCGATCGAAAGAATATTATAAAGAATATTATCTAGTGAGGTTGAGTCTAGAGGGCAGCTCTAACATAACATGCTTATCTCTGTAAAAATATTAATTCGTTTATGACCTTAATTAACAGCATCGCGTGTACAGAAGGGCGTGGTTTATTCTGGTCGACTTTGTGCGTGTTTCATTCGTAAGATACATGTTTTACGTTCATATTTACTTGTTAACTCCAGAAAATCAAAACTGCTTCGCGCGATCATGTACAAAAGTAACTCGCTGTTAATACGCGTATTGTTTCACGAAAGATTTTTCGACCTCGAGGTTGCAATGAATCAACCTTTGTACGATTAATTCGCTAAGAATGCCATTTTCTATGCGAAATAAAAGGTGCACTCGTCACGAGCGCGGCAGTTGTATACAGACGATACAATTTCTCTATTTACAAATACTATGACAAAACGTCTAAAGATAAATTTAAGTATTTTTTTTTCTTTTTTTACAAATATTAGCCAACACGTCACGTTGTTTCTCAGATCAGAGCTTTCCACTTTCACCAATAACAATTCCATTTTCGCAATCACACTTCGACCGCAAGTGTCGCAAGAGAAACCTATGATTTTTAAACCCATCCACCGGTTAGTTTATGGAACATCTCCTCGTTCAACGTTTGATTCGCCTCTTTCGATCGCATCGACAAAAATATATACCCTCCGATGAATTCATGAACGACCTTACAGTCCGCGGACTGACACTCAAAGACTATATTGTCTTTCGCCTCCTCGAACTGGACCATCATATGCTTCACTTCCCAGTTTACGTTCCATGCCTGTGTAAATAGAATATATCGATAGTACAAAGTGCTAGTTTATAGAGCAAGTTTATATACAGATCTTATTCTCTCACCTTCATCGTGTTGTATCTCCAAGTTTTCAGGTGATCACCACTGTGAAGCTCCATTCGCATCAGCCTGTTATTAGCGATGCCCAACAGCTCGTCCTTGCTCTTTCCAGTGAATCTGACCACGAACAGAGAGATCCCGTACTCGGGGAGAGACTGCCAGGCTTTGATGTAGTTCAATTTGGCCTCGATTAAAGGTAGATCCTTGACGTTGGCGTGTGCTTCCAGAATCCTCTGAACCAGCTACGAACACAGAAGGAAGAGAGCTATCAGCTACCGAAGATGGCAGTTGTAGAAACAATCGACGTACCTTTCCTTTGAACTTCTTGGCGAATCGAGGAGCAACGTAGTCTTCAGGCACGATGTCGAGGGCGTTGGGATTGATCGCAGGTGCAGGGGCGGGCCTTTGCAATTGCAAAAAGGCCGTGATGCTGTTCACTTCGCTTTCGTAAGAGGCGTCAGCGAGAGAACGCCCTTTCGCCGCTAGTCTGCACGCCGCCATCCATTTCGCGTATTGTTGCTCCTACAACAACGAACGACAGAGAACTCGGTAATATTCCTGGAATATAGCAATCGCTCGATCGCTTGGAATTACCAAGTAAATTTCAAATGCAACGGTCACAATGCGTCGGCGTGAATCGCGAGGGCAGAGGCAGAGTATATGCGAGTATACTCACGTTGTCGCATCTGATCCACATCTCGGTCATGCCCTCGGCGCTGGGCACCTCCAACCTGATCCCGTAGCGACCTTGCGAGAGATGGACATCAGGTGTGACCTCGCATCCACGCAGATTGATCACGTGGGCAGGCGACTCGCTGTGCGTCTCCTCCCGGCTCTTGTACAACCTCAGCTGAAGGTCCCTGCACGTGACCCAGTAGCGCTTGAACGCCTTCAGGGTGAAACGCTTCGGCTTCAAGAAACGGAGGTAGTCGCACAGCTCGGGCACTTGGGTGATGTCACTGGGCCCGTTACTGATGTTACTGCCCTCCAAGGTCACTTGGAGATCCGTCAGGGCCGCGTCAATGTCGTCCTCGACCGGGGAGGACGCGCCATTGCTGTCGTAACTTGGTTGCGGCACGCTCGCCTGAAGATTCACTTGCACCTGTGAATCACGCGATACAAATACGCGACGTTCATCTTGTTCATCTACCTCGGCTACATCGTTCCTTTTAATTCGACAGCCGCGACACGATCCGAGAAAACCGAATGTAGGCGTACATAATAGGAAAATAACGCGAACGTTTTCTCGATTGGTCGTTGGTCGACTTAAGGAAACGAGATTTGCATGCGAGCCGCGCGGGGGCGATCTATCGCAGGGGCGGACGAGTGTCTTTAATTGGGCAAACGTTCCGGGGGCGATCGTACGAGCAGGAAAGCTTCGCTTACTTTCCTACGTCTGTCTCTATTTCCAGGCGAATCTCGATAAGCCTCTCGATCGTCCCTCAAATTTAGAAACGAACGCTTCGCTGCGATCTGTCGTGTCATCGCCAGCTATTTCAGTCTGCCGTTCACCAGAGGCTGACACTCTTGGTAAGTATATTTATATATATAGATCGAACCGATCCGGCGAGCGCCGGATGTTTGAATGAACGTGAAAACGTTAGCCGCGTAAACAATCGCGCAGCTGGTCCATCGCAGTGCAAATGCCGTGCAAATTCTCGCAAATGGAAAGGGATAATGGGACTGTTGGAGTCCCAAGCACAACGGGGGAGTATGTGTATTGTGTGTGTGTG